GAATGGGCGCAATCCTGAGTTCAGGAAAATACAAATGACACAAGCCTATATATTCACACGCACACAAACTCAAAGTCGCAAACACAGGCAGAGGGAGAGGAACAAATGCAACGCAGATAAAAGTCTTACTTACACACACACACACATGAACATAATCAAAGGCAATTAAAATCAGGGAACGAACTAATCCTAGTGTGGCGAGTTCTGGATACACAAAAAACAAGATTGCAAATGTATATAATAACACAAGATCAAACACATCACATGGCTAAATTACCCCTCCACCCCCCCAAAAAAAATGCTTCGCTTGAGTAAGGCCATCACGATAACAAAAGAATACTCCTTTATACCGGCCCCTATAATTCTCAAGACATCTAAAGAACACGAGAATGAACGGCGGGTAGGCCTAAATCAGGAACAGCGGTCAGCCTCAACAAACGTTCTGAGGGGTCTCTCTAGGAGCCAACCGATGGCATAGACTCATCTCCTCATCTGCACACTCATCTCCCTCTTTGCTGGCGGAGGAAATTCCTACAGAAATAATCCCAAGGCTATGGCGCAAAAAGAACACACGACTATGACTACACTCCATCAGGAAGACGCCGAAGGGGAGCGGGTAGTGGTGCCGATGGTGGTGGTGGAGGAGGAGGAGGAGGAGGAGGAGGAGGAGGAGGAGGAGGAGGAGGAGGAGGAGGAGGAGGAGGAGGTGGAGGAGGAGGAGGAGGGGGAGGAGGAGGAGGAGGAGGAGGAGGAGGAGGAGGAGGAGAGAGGAGGGGGGAGGAGGAGGAGGAGGACGACGAGGAGAGGAAGGAGGAGGAGGAGGAGGAGGAGGAGGAGGAGGAGGAGGAGGAGGAGGACGAGGAGAGGAAGGAGGAGGAGGAGGAGGAGGAGGAGGAGGAGGAGGAGGACGAGGAGAGGAAGAAGGAGGAGGTGAGGGAAAGGAGAAGGAAAGGGAGGAGGAAGCAAGGAGAGAGAAGGGTGAGGAGGAGCAGAGAGGATTAAGCACAAAAGGCAAGGTTGAAAATGATTTCCCTTTCCCATACACACGTCAACCGGAGGATATGTTCCGCAATCTATTTTCTTGTATTTATTTATTTACCTTACCTTCACTTATCTCATCTTGCCTACAAATCACCGGCGGCTGCGATAATCATCTGCCAGGATGGTCAAAGAAAACAAGATACGCCGCCCTTTGCCAAAATAGCGCATCTCCTGCAACAACACCGAGATAATGGAACCACGCCCCCTCGAACATGTTC